GCAACATACTAACCATCAATGTTTTGTTCGTTCATTTGTTTCCCCACTGAGAATGCAAGACTGTTGAAATCTGCTTTGGATTCTTTGAATTGTAAGTTTTTTGTTTTTTATGTTAAATCTGGATCTTAAATATAAACAAATATATCTTTAATATAAACAAATCTGGATCTCATCCCCCACTCTCCCATCGCAAACAGGAGTTACTTGGTCGCAGGCTAAATCTTCTGCCAGCAAACAGTCCTGAGCACTATCTTCCGAAGGTAAACAGCTCCAAAGAAATGCTTTGAAATGTAAAATTGTCCACGCAGCAACACTCATCTCTCATCTCCTAGAGTCTTATCGGAAGAAATACCTCAGAAAGCAAGCTTTGAGCCAGAAAGCAAAGAAGGGTTCATATACCTCCTTCAGGTAGTTGTAGAGAGTGATAAGGTCTCCCCCTGAGCCTCACCTTCTCTAGACTAAACAATTCTAGTTCCCTCAGCTGCTTCTGATAAGGCTTGTACTCCCCTCACCAGCTTCGTTGTCCTTCTCTGCACATACTCCAGGACCTCTGTGTCTTTTTTGCAGAGGGCAGGTGAGGGCAGGGCTTGAGTACACTGTTCGCTTTAGTGCAGTGTTCATTTTTGAGCTGCTCAGTACAAGAAAGACTAGAAAGTACAAGAAAGGCCCTGGAGTGTGTTCAGAAAAGGGCTCAATTACTTTCCCAGCAGCTCTTTTTTTACGGTGTTTTGCTGCAATTTTACCTTTTCTGTGAAGAGTCCTAGGTGCAAGCTGATCTGCACAAGGTCCTAGCTGAAAATGAAGCTAAAAACTGTATTACAAAATAGTGATAGGCACTCTGAAGGAGGCACTGAACTAGACTAAGTGTTGTTTGGTTGCTTGTTTGAAATAATCAAGACAATTTATTGGTCTTTTTTGTATCATTATATATGAACTTGGCATTGAATTATAGGGCAGGTGAAAAGACATCATTCAGTTTGGAAGAGGATTCTGCACAGAAAAAGAAATCATACATTAAAATTAATCAGATCTGTTTGTGTATCCACAACTGGACTGATTAAACTTTTACTCCTTTTTGTTTTTTTGTAACCTACAGATCTTCAGTAGTACCTCTGCTATGGAGTGAAATTTATTTATTTTCTTATTTATGGTCTCAGATCCAATTTCTTAATACAGTTAAAAATTCCATTGACTTGTTCTGTAAAGGTCATATTTAGTCACAATACTCCCCCTCCTGTCTTTAAAGTGGCTTGCTAATTAATATACTTTAAAAAATTAAATACAATTAAATGATATATTAACTGAGCTACACAAACACTTAGTGTTTACAGCTGGAGGAGGTAGCATCTGATCTGTAAAGCTACAGTGACAGAAGATTACTGAAGCTTGCAAGGTCTCCTTGGTTGTAACAACATAATCGTAAGAGAGAGTCATGTTTATTTTTTACACAGCAGAAGGGGAGGCTAATCTTGTTCATTATGCCCTAGTGCTAGTTCATCAGACTTCAATTTTGAAGTTGGATATTGGCTCCATTTATTTCTTTGATTGTTCTAGTTTATAAACTGTGGTGTCGGCCAGTCATGGACAGCTCTTAGTGGTAGGTGCTACTGTAATGGTCAAAGAGGTAATCCCCCTGCCCTGGAAGTCTTGGAGGGGGAGCAGAATAACCCCTCCATGATTCTGGTAGGAACAGTTAGAAACCTGAACTGTCAAAAGTCCATGGGGCTGGATGGGGCCCTTTGAGGGTGCTGAGGGAGCTGGCAGAAGTAACTGCCAATCTGCTTTCCACTGTCTATTACCGTTCCTGGTCAACCAGAGAGGTTCCAGAGGATTAGAGGCTTGCCAGCATGACTCCCCTCTACAAGAATGATTGTAAGGAGAATCTGGGGATCTGCAGGCCCATCAGCCTAACCTTGGTGCCAAAAGATTATACAGCAGATCATCTTGAGTGATACCACATGGCATGTGCGAGACAACTGGGGGATGAGGCCCAGCAAGCATGGGTGCACGAAAGGCTGGTACAGCTTGACCAACATGATCTCCTGCAGTTGAGTGACTCTCCAAGTAGATGAGGGATAGGCTGTTTAATATCTTTATTGGTGACCTGGATGAGGGCATTGAGTGCACTCTCAGTAAATTTGCAGATGACACCAAGTTCGGGGGAATCTTCGGAGGGATCTGCTTGAGGGTAGGAAGGGATGGGGGATCTGGATGGGCTGGATCACTGGACTGAGGCCAATAGAATGAAGTTCAGCAAGATCAAATGCCATGTCCTGCACTTTGATAACAGTAGTCTCGTGCAGTGTTACCGGTTTGGGTCAGAAAGCCTGGAAGACTGTGTAGAGGAAACAGACCCTGGGGTATTTGTCAACACTCAGCTGAATGTGAGTGTGTCCAGGTGGCCAAGAACGCCAATGGTATCCTGGCTGGTACCAGAAATAATGTTGCCTGCAGGAGCTGGGAAGTGATCATCTCTCTTCATACAGCCCTGGTGAGGGCAGGGCTTGAGTACCCCGTTCGCTTTAGTGCAGTGTTCATTTTTGAGCTGCTCAGTACAAGAAAGACTAGAAAGTACAAGAAAGGCCCTGGAGTGTGTTCAGAAAAGGCAGTGTAGCTAGTGAGGGTTCTAGAGCACAAGCCTTATGAGGAGCAGATGAGTAAACTGAGATTGTTCAGTCTGGAGAAGATGAGGCTCAATAGAGCCTCACTCTCTTACAACTACCTGAAAGAAGGCTCTGGTGAGGTGGGTATTGACCTCTTCTCCAGCATAAGCGATAGTGAGAATAGAGGGAATGGCCTCATGTTGCGCCAGTGGAGATTCAGTTTGGACGTTAGGAAAGATTTCTTCTGGAGAAGAAGGTGCTCAAATTTGCTTCGCAGGAGTTAGTGGAGGCGTTAAGAAATGTTGAGATATGAGGGTCATGGTTTAATGGGAAATATTGGTGATAGGTGGACAGTTGGACTTGACTGTCTTTTCCAATCTTGGTGATTCTATAATTTTGTGAAGAAATCAGGATGGTCTACTAATAAAAAATTGAAAAAGTCTTGGGTGAGCTTTTTTTCTTAACCAGCAATATAAATGTTTCTACCATTTACAGACTCCGACTGGATTTATGGAGATTTTTTGTACATTATAAAATAATCCCTTTTTAATCTTGAGGTGTGTATAATTTGTTATTGTAATGTAGCTGTTAGTAATTGAGGCAGATATTTATAATGCAATATTTTTCACAAATACGCAACATTATTTTTTTCTGAATATCCAACTCCTTTCTTTCTAGTTTGTCAGTGTAAATCTTACGGCAAACTAAAGAGTAAACAGAAAAAAATATATTAGACTGTAGACAACCTGTGCAGTCTCATTTTTTGCTGAGTGCTTATTTTGGTAAATTCTGAAAGTAACTAGCTGCAGCATAGGATTGAAATGGCATAACTTCACAATCAGTGAAATTTCAAGTAAATTTTCAAAGAGTGTTTTCATTCTTCTAAAACAATACTTAGGTATTTGCTTTGTGCTTTAAATGCTACTTACCCTGCAAATTCCAATGTCTCAGGCAGATTCCTGATCACAGCATACCAAGGTTTCACATCTTTGGATTTTTTTCTCCTTGTGTTATGTGCACAAACTTTTGTGCTGCAGTGTTTCATGTGGACTACTTAGTCTTTATCATATAGTTGCAATTATGATGGAGAAACTTGATACATATGGTAATACGGTAATTCTGAAATGACTTCTAAAAAACAGAGTGAATAAGCATGCTTAATAAAGGGTTGGGCCTGCCTGCTAAAATGTTATTCAAACACAGAGAAAGAATTTTACATTCACAAATGCTAAGTATTTCATGGCATGAAGCACTTCGTGGTTATTTTCACAGGAAAATAAGGATATTTTCACAAGAAGAGCCTATCAATAATGGTACATAACTGCTTTAGGAAGTTGATTCCAATGTTTCAATGTAAAAATAACAGAATTTTAAGGAGCTGTTGGGCATAGATATCTAAGAGTAAAGAAATTTCACAGGATCAGCTCTAATTTGGCTTTTTTTTTTTTTTTCTCGGTAGTTGTATTTCTTTTGTAGTGGTCTCCTATTATCCTTTCTCTGAAAAAAGAGAACAGTAATTTACAGTTTAAATGTTTTCTCCCTTTGCAACATCCTTGTGGTGTGCTTAAAGTCTTGACAAAATGACAAATTTGAAAGCACCAAGTGTGACCAGAATTACTGCCCCTTTCCCTGCCCCCCCTCAAGCATAGGCACCAACGCACATGCACACTCCTGCTTCCTCTATTTCAAGGTCCTACCAGGCATTTTGTGCTACTATCTGGAAAAGAAATGTGACATTTGTGTCAATGCTTCTAGTTCATAGTCTACTTACAGCATAGGATGATACATCAGCATACATAAAAATAATCTCTGAATTACTGGTTAAGCAGCCTGTAAATAGGTGGAGGTTCAGATATTGTTACATTTCAAGTTTTAAGAATTCACTGATCATCCTGAGACAGCAGCTCAGCTTTTCTTATGGTTAATTATTTCAGAGGTGACGGTGTCACTGTGTGCATGCATAAGTGAGATATGTGTCTATTCAGTGTATGCTGGTTGCTAGTCTGTTCCAGTATCTTGTCCCATGACATTTAAGCCCGAAGAAAATTCTGTTTGTGTAGTCAGTGTTCATTTTGTGCATAGTGGGAGGCTAGATCTTGGCTGTCTAATATATATTTTAACATGATTTGATTGCACTGTACAAGTACTATTACCTCACAGTTCTAGCTCATAAACAGCTAAACAGTACTTGACATTTAAAGAGATTTTCTGTTGTGCACTTGTATAGTCAAGAGTAATTCTAATCCTATTAAAGATACTGTGTCATGGAGGCGTGCCCTGTGGGAGAAGGCTTCTTCTAACTGGTCAGATGGAAAGCAGAGGGGAGGAGCAAGAAAGAGGGTGGATTTATTATTTGCTATTAGGTCAGGGATTTCTGTGGGAAATGCCCAGTGGTTGCAGTTGCTGCTGATTTCACATCAACAGCAGTGAAACACAGAGTGCACTCTGATAGCTGATTACTGAATGAGATACTGTAAACGGGTGGGAAAAAAAGACAGCGTGTGAAACAGACAGACTCAGAGAGGGAAGGTTAGAGCAGGAAAAGTGGTCAGGCTGCAGAGTATTCTCCTAGGTGTACTGCGGAAGCTTTTTGGAAATGGATGCAAGGACCATCTGCTGCCTACAGATTAGAGGGCTGTAGAATAAGGGCAGAGAGACGAGCCTGTGGCTCTTGAATAAAAACTGAAGTTCTGCATATCTGATTTATCAAGATAAATCATGAGTCTGTGCATGGATAGGATATTAATGAATAAATCCATGCTATGGATAGAGTACAGCCTGCATTGCTATAAAAAATAGATAAACAGCAACAATGCAGTGAATAAATTCTGCAGTAATTATCTGATTTATGTATGAAGAAAAAGAGAAGTGAAATACAGAAAGCCTGTATTGCATTGCATTTAACACTGAGAGATGCTGTACATCATTGAATCTGACAACTATGGAAAGAGAAATCATGGAGAAGTCAAGTAGCGAGGATTCTTCAATTCACCGGAGTCCATCTTTGGATAGCAAAGACTCAGATTTTGCTAAACCTTCTACCTCAGGAAGGCAATTTGGTCGAGGTTTTACTGCTGGAGCTTTCTATGGTACAGCTGGATCACGCACACAGAACCACACTGGCATCGAAACTGGGACTGGTTCTGGGACTGGGACTGGCATAAAAAGTGACAAATACAGTGCACCCAAAGGCAGCAAATATGTGGTCTTTTACCTGGATCTATCCTTTGTTTTCCTTTTAGAATTTAAGAAGTGCGACATGACAAGAGGCTGCCTGTGTTGTTTGAAATATATGATGTTCCTTTTCAATTTGATATTTTGGGTGAGTATTGCATTTTCAGTTGCCTTCATTTGTTAGTGCTGTCTGTACTGCTGCATTACATTTATAGTGCATCTTTGAAGCACTACAGTAAGTTCTTCCCCTCCCCCCAGCTGTCTCCTCTTCCCCTCCTTGCCCTGTCTCTCATGCTTGCATGGAATACATTCAGTATTAAACCCTCATTAAACTAATGAGAAAATATACATTATTAGTATATTTATTATCATCTGGTTGCTGAGATTAAATTAATAAATCTTGAAACTCAATATTCTTTCATGTTTTGAACTGTGTTATTTAAGAAATGGCAAAACTGTTATTCTTCGGGAAGAGAAGAATTACTGTAGGGTTAAAATCCTGTGATGTCAGGTTTCATAATTTATTAAGCTGAAGTTAAATATAATTTTGAAGTGCATTCTCGCTGTTGACATAAATGTCATTTATTTATTGTAAACTTCATTCACAAGCTGCCTTTTTGTTTGAAGGAAATTCTGTTCCATTTCTCCAATTAAAAACAATGAATTGCCTATGTCCTAACCTCTTACAGTATCAGCATAAATGTGAAATAACTGGAATGATGAAGTAGTCTGGGTTCAGTTTCAGCGACAGTTGTCCACACTGATATATGAAATTGGAGGTCTGCATTTACTTCTGAAGGATCAAAATTGATTTTCCTCCGTCAGCCAAGAGGCAAGAGGAGTTGTAACAATGCCTTAACAAGCAAATTAAAAGCATAATGTCTACTTTGAACAAAATTATGTGAGATACAAGGAAGGGAGGAGATGTTCAAATCAATTGGTAGCTTGGCATCCTTGAGTGAACAGTATTGCTGAGGGACATACAGACTAATGGTAATACTCGGTGCATGAATACAGCTGAAAATGAAATAGTTTGATTCATTTAAAAGCAAAGGTCACTGTTTTCCTGATGACTACAGTGTTTGAATGTATGAACCATATCATTAATGTTTGTGGTCCGGAAATACACAATATATCTCATAAATAAACGAAGACGTCTTTTCTAGGTTTATTTTAAAAGAAGGGCCATTAACAGTACAGTTTAGGTGGACTGGAGTCATCGGTGTTCAAATTTGGAATCTTACTAGCGGCTTCTCTGTTCATCTGACCCACTTACTGAAATAACTTTTAGGAGCAAGCATTAATGGGAGATTTGGTCTAGCACTGAACCACTCTAGCAACAGTGATCTTTTAACAGTAATAGATTGAAATGTTTCAACCACTGAAATTGTGTGAATCTTACTTAAATAGAAAGAAATAGAAAGAAAGGAGTGAAGAAGATTCCATCAAAGTTTGTATGTTGTTTTCTTTTTTTTAATCTTTCGTATATGAACACTACTAGGAAGTTGCCTTAACTGTTCCTGGAGTTAATCATTTTTATTCAACCTGAAGGTTATATTACTTTGATGCCTTGGAAGCATTTTTTTCATGTGATGCTTGTTGCCATTATTTTTGGAACAGCTCTTCTGATATCATTATTTGTGTTCTCTGTGATCAGTCATTAGTTATCTCTTCGCCCTCACTTACTAAAATATATGTGTTTTCTTATGAGGATTATATTACTTTTCTTTCTGTTGTTAAACATTGTCACATCTCTGATATTCCAAAAATGTTTTTTTTTATGAGCTATGCCATACAGAATAAATACGGTTCTGTAGAACCACAATTACAGAAAAATGCTAACGTGCAAGATGTCAAGTACTTTTCGACGTTGGTTACAACAGAAACTTGATCAACCAGCCTGGTTTATGTTGTTCACCTTAGCTGTATTAAATTCCTCCTTTCTTCTCTTTACCTGACTTGAATTCAGTTTTGCCAGCCAAACTTGACATCTTGTGCATCATTCGAGAGGACTGAAGTCTTGCTAGATTCTTATTTTTAGTAATCAGACTATGTTATTATCCTGTGTCTCAAGCCATTCAAGTAAATAGACCATCTCATTTTACTCATGGAAATGTGAGCTAGAATGAAGCATGCTTCGTTCTACTGTGTAGTGTAGAAGTGTAGTGTACTGTACTGTGAAGTGTACTGTACTGTAGTTTGCCACCTTTGGCTTTGTATCTGGAACCTTTGTTTGTTACATTATGGCTGTGGGTATTTGGCTGTGTGTGTGTGTTCATTGCTGACTATGAAAATTTCGGTGTCACTCACTGCTGCCTTAAACTCTCCTGCTAGCCCAGCTCTGGGCTTCCCAGGCAGCTCTGCCACTGTCTCCTACTTCTACTCTGTACTGAAGCACTCCCTGCTTTTTCAGTCCTGTCTTTCCTCTCAACCCTTTTTCCTCATTCCCAGGTCTGCCTGGTCTCATTCGTCCTGGTCGTCAGCTCACTGAGCTGTTAAGTACAGAGCATGTTTCCCAGCATTGCTGACCGAGCTGTGTCTAGGACTGTAGTATCCCACTGCAATTTGAGCGTTGCATCCTTCAGAACCATGAAATTGTGTCTGCTCTTGAGCAGTTACAATCATCTTTTGTAATGCAAAGTGATTTCTTTTATTAAAAAACCCTTTTTTTAGGCAACTGTAAACAGAGATTGAAAGCAGTTCTAAAGTGTCTTTAAACAGATGCCAGTCTAGCAGCTATGTGGCAAATGAAGTAGTTAATGGGCAATCTGAAGGACTTGTGTACTTTCCAGAAAGCCACTATGTTCTAGATTTATAGTAGCACAATGGGTGGCTGCTGGGAAGTATTGTTCTACTGTAGTGCTACAGTAGTTCTTTAATACATCTACTGAAAAATGGGGAACAGTGTTTACCTCTGGTGTCCAAGAACTGTGAACCCCGTTACCTTGAACAGTTCTTAGCGTTGGCCCAAAGAAGGATGTTTTTTCCATTATTTGCTTATTGACATGGAGAAGATTTAGTCTCTCCCACATGTGCCAGTGAACTGTACTATTCCTTCTGCCTGTCAGCCAGATCACACATATTTGAAGACTAATTATGTATGCATATATAAATATACAATATATATATATATATTGCAGAGGAGAGCATTAGAGAGGTTAAGATTGGAGGCAGCTTGGGCTGTAGTGACCATGCCTTGATGGAGTTTACGATTTTGAAGAATGTGGACCTGGCAAAAAGCAAAGCTAGGACCCTGTGCTTTAGGAGAGGAAAATTCCAACTGCTCAAGGAATTGCTGAGTGGGATCCCCTGGGAAACTGTCCTTAAGGGTGTGGGTACAGAACAAAGCTGGCAGCTCTTTAAGGTAACCCTTTTGAGAGCACAACGGCTCTCCATCCCCAGCAGAAGAAGTCGAGCAGGGGAGGCAAGCAACTGTTGTGACTGTGCAAAGACCTGCAGCTTAAACTGAGAGAAAAAAGGGAAATGTTCAGAAAGTAAAAGCAGGGTTGTGTATCCTGGGAGGAATACAGGGCTGTTGTCCGTGCGTGTGAAGATAGGCCGATCACAAGCGGTGTCGCACAGGAGTCAATCTTGGGACCAGTGCTCTTCAACGTCTTTATCAATGACATAGACGATGGCATCGAGTGCTCCCTCAGCAAGTTTGCAGATGACACCAAACTGAGTGGTGTGTTCGATACACTAGAGGGAAGGGAAGCCATCAAGAGGGACCAGGACAAGCTAGAGAAGTGGGCCCATGAAAACATAAAGAGGTTCAGTAAGTCCAAGTGCAGGGTGCTGCACTTGGGTTGGGCACGATATGACTTGGGGCTTGTATAAATACAAGCTGGGGGAAGATCTCCTTGAGAGCAACCCTGCAGAGAAGAACTTGGGGGGTCCTAGTGGATGAGTAGCTGGACATGAGCCTGCAGTGTGCACTTGCAGCCCGGAAGGCCAACTGTGTTCTGGGCTGCATGAAAAAAGGGGTGGCCAGCAGGGAGAGGGAGGTGATTGTCCCCTTCTACTCAGCTCTTGTGAAGCCCCATCTGCAGTACTGCATCCAGGCCTGGGGCCCCCAGTACAGGAAGGACGTGGAGCTCTTAGAGCGGGTCCAGAGGAGGGCCACTAAGATGATCAGAGTTCTGGAGCAGCTCTCCTATTTAGAAAGGTTGAAGGAACGGGGCTTGTTTAGCTTGGAAAAGAGACCTCATTGCAGCCTTCCAGACTTGAAGGGAGCTTATAAACAGGAGGGGAATGGCTGTTTCTGAGGGTGGATAGTGATAGGACAAGGGGAAATTATTTTAAACTGAGACAGGGGAGGTTTAGGTTAGATATTATGGGGAAGTTTTTCACACAGTGTAGTGGCAGACTGGAACAGGTTGCCCAAGGAGGTTGTGGATGCCCCGTCCCTGGAGGCATTCAAGGCCAGGCTGGATGTGGCTCTGGGCAGCCTGGTCTGATGGTTGGTGACCCTGTACACAGCATGGGTGTTGAAACTAGATGATCATTATGGTCATTTTCTACCCAGGCCATTCTATGATTATGTGATTCTATGATAAATAGATGTAGGTCACTCTGAAAGTAATGCCTCCAATTTATTTCCGTGGAAACTACAACAGAAATTGAAAAAAGTTAGTAAAGTGCTCTAGAGAAAATGAAATAGTTCCTGGTTATAATGATGAGGAGTGAGTTTCTGATATGAAGTAGAAAGTAAATTAATATTTTGTAAAGCAACTTTTACAAGACACTGCAGCAGTTTCTTGAAATGCTTCTTAATTCTTATTAGTTCTTTTGTGAGTTGAAATTCCAGTGCTGGTTTCATGAGGAAATTTTGGAGGCAGACATTCTGCTTTCTTGTATGTCGGTCATTCTTAAAGTAGTGCCTCCTGTTTGCATTGAAACCACAGCAGATACAAGTAGCACAATAACACTATTGGACAGAACAAAATCTCAGCTACAAAATGCTATTTTTTAACTAGTCACCACCGTTAGCTGTGTATTTTTGCCAGCCATGGGCAAGAGTTTGGATGCCTTGCTTTTAAAGACCTGCACCAGCAGAGGTGAACCACTGTCACTGTTTCACAGCTGCTACGATGGTGGTGTTGCTCACACCATCCATGTTTCATCAGCCTGAATAGGTGAAAGTCAGAA